GTTTTAAGCAAAAGAACAATTTGAATTAGGACGAAACTGTTGGAACGAAACAAAATTTAATTGAAAAATTAGGTAAGGGACCAAACACTTTTGAAACTTTTCAATGGACTAAAATGATGTCTTGATGAATGGCGGTCCAGTTTTTCTAGTTGTTCTATCGTTTTCTGCGCATAATAAAACCCTAGAAGTAAAAACGTTGCAAAAAGAAAGGTGTTTACGTAAAGTATACTTATGCCGAAATATCTAGTATTTGGTATAATATTTAGTGAAGATCTGATATGTTTGATAGAAGATCGAATACTTTTTCCGTCTTTACTTATCTTTTTTGTTCATTTAGAGGTTTTTTTAGCATCAGTGCTAAAACAACAAGTCTCTCGTGATCGACAAGTATTGGTGAAACAAAGGCAATCATTTGATCATCAAATGTCAAGACGAAAATTGAAATTGGTGAAGATTGACTATGTATTTTGTCGAATAAGAATCAAGCTATTATGTTATGTTCGCTGAATTTTTTTAGGAATATTTATTTAAAGAAAAAACCAGTCAAAAAGATTCTTAATGCAATTATATCAATAAGCCGATTTGATGCGTGTTTTAATTAATACAACAAATTATGATCATGATCAAGTTAAAGTTAAAATAGATATTACATATCAGAGATGGAATCAGTTCAATTTGGTTCGTAATCGTTTACACCCGCTATGGTTATTTTCGTTTTGTGGATTCTTTTTTTTTTCTATTAAAGAAAACAACATCAAAAGAAATATTCAGGTTACAATCAGATGTCGCTTGCTATAAAGATAGTTTTAATATTTTTCTGATTAGAAATTTGCATAGGCGAATAATAAACCACGTCTAGAAAAACAACGCTTGTTTATTGTGCACTGTAAATTCTTTTAAAATTCTACTATTTGGAAAATCGATTTTAAATAAGCTGAATTATTTTTGAGGTTTTATGATTCATTCGACAAATTTTCAATACTTCAAAAATGCTTGATTTTCCAATTTACAGAGATTGAATTTGATTTTCGAAAGAAATCATCTTCTACAAAGTAAAACATCAACATTGATTTTAATAAAACTCGAAAATCAATCCTGATTTGAAAAAAATCATCTGAACAATGATCGCTATCGAGCCATTGTTAATTCACATATATAAGCCGGCCGATAATGTTTTTCATTCATTATATTCTTTACCAGCTAACTAGTGAGTTGATAACTTGTATTTTTAAAGTTGCTCTGTAAGTCAGTTCATTTAGTATGTATTTAAATTCAAATTATTTGTTATTTGATGCATTTTTATGAATTACATGTCTATAATATTATTTAAATTCAAATTTAAATTATTTATTTATGGTATTTTGATGCATTTATGTGTTTATAATATTGTTCAATTTAAATTCTAATTATTTATTTATGTTATTTGATGTATTTAGATGAATTAAATGTTTATGCTATTATTTAAATTATTTACTCATGTTATTTGGTGCACTTATATGAATTAAATATGTCAAATATAATTTAAGTGTCAATTTAAATTTATTATTCATTTTATTTGATGTGTTTTTATGAATTAAATCTTTAAAATATTATTCAATTTAAATTCAAATTATTTATTCATATTATTTGGTGCATTTATATGAGTTAATTATTTAGAATATTATTTCAATTTCAATTAAAATTATTTGTTTGTTATTATATGAATTTTACGTTCATATATGAAAATAAAATTCGATTTTCGAGTTTTTAAAAAATACTCGAATTGCTGAATAGAATCCGAAATTCTAGGAACGCCTATATGAATTCACTTGCGATTTTCTAATTAGAAAATCAAATTTCTTATTCTGAATGTTTCAAATACCTCATTTTCAAAGAATTTAAAATTCCTCGATGAATTCATATGGGCATTCCGAGAATATCTTTCACTAAACTCTATAACTTATTTTCTAGATTACAGTGTACAGAAAGTCTAGTAAAACTCTGGCAAATCTAATTCAAGTAAGTTTGTCATTTACTACAAATTAAATTTGATTTCCACATAATTATCTAGGTGATTGAAAAGTGATTGTCCCCCCGATTGTTTGCAACCATTTGTATTTGATATAGTTTTGATATGTGATAGAAGAAGTAATCTGAAGAGAACATTCTATCAAGCCGAAATAAATAAGGCAGAAAAACATAAAGCATTTGAGGATTATTATATTGATTCCATTGAGGATGAATATAATCAAATTAATGGAAGTAACAGCGAAGAAGATGATAGCTCTTACGGTGATGAAGAAATTAGTTGATAAGAAAATTATATCTGTTAGTTATTCCTCTACAACATCAAGCCGAAACAATCTCGTCACTATTCTTGATCAATTATCATCAGATGCAAAACATGTTTTAGTAACTATTATCTAATGCAAAAAGTTACTGAAATATAAATTAGATAAATTCAATATCAAGACCTTTTATTGTTAACTCAGAGAAAATAGAACATGTGAACATTTTTACAAAATTCTTACTAGATAGAACCTTTTCAATCCGTACCATTTTTAAGAATCTTTCAAGGGTTCTAGACTTTTCGACTAGAACTTTTTTTCTGTGAAACTTTTAGGAAAAAAGATTCTAATTCAAAAATCTAGATCCTTTAAAAGATTCATAAAATGATATCCATTGAATAGGTTCTGTATGATGTCTGTTTTTTTTACAGAAAAGGAGTCAATAAAAAATGTAATTTTTTTTAGGTCAATTTAAGTTAAGAACTCGAAGAACTAGATGCTGCTGTTCTGATCCAAAATACAATAGTCAGATGGCTTTCTATATATAACTTTGTGGAAAGTGTCCAAAAATCCTTAAATCCATTACTTGAAATATTTAATGAAAAAAATTTTAACAAGAAAAGAATTAATAAGTTCATTATGTTCGATAAAATAATTGATTTTTTTAAGACCATGGTCTCATTTAATGAAACGTACTCAATCATCGCGAGTATCATCAATACATACTGTAGCACCAAGTATATTTGTAATAAATTCCCCATTAGAAATAAGGTCAAATGATTATAAATAAGAAAAATGTTTATGATTTCAAGTTTTTTTTTATGTACTTTGCCTAAATAATTTTTTTCACAGGCATCGGTTTATTTCTGTCAACCAGCAAGACAAGTCATCCAAGAAATGATTTCTTCCGATACCATACATCTTATTGGAACTTTCTTCAATCCTAAAACACGAAGAATGAAGGATTCGTCAACAAGACAAAGGGCAGAATGTATTGAATATGTAAAATCAGAAATGTAGCTTTTTGATGTTGATCAGCATGTTAAATCATCTCCAAACAAAAAGCCAGTTTCATTATCAACAAATATCTCATTCATATATAGGACAGATTTTCATTTTAATCTAGAAATTGATGACAAACATTATGCTGATCAACACGGTTCGTCAAAAGCTTCATCACATAAGCTCGAAATTGATTTGCATTTTAAGCATGGTGCAGATAAAATGACATCACTAACGAATTCTAGTCAAGAAAATGAAGAATATAATCGATTATCATTTTGGAAGATGAAAAATGTTTCTTATCCTATTGTGACGATGGTTGCTACTCATGTTTTAACTGTACTAGCTACCAGGGCAGCTGTTGAGCGCGAGTTTAGTTTTACTGGTAACATTATTACATAAAAGTACTCAAAATCATCATCAGATACAGTAAATGGTATTCTTTTCAATCATTCATACAATAACTTGCCAAGAGTCTTAATATATTTCAATTTTATTCTATTCGGTTCGGTCCGGTTCAAGGAAAACACCAACCGATTCCATCACTGCTACATATGTACATCATCAACGTGTTATTGAAGAACTGAAACCAACCAAAAAAATTGCCTAATTATATCCAACTTTATCAGTGATCAGTTCGGTAAGTCTTAGAGCATGTATTCGTTTTGATCGACTAATAATTCATTGAAATATTGCTGAGTTTGAATCTTTCGTTCAAAGAAATTGATATAATCTCAATATCACATATACATTTATTTTATTTTATTTTGTTTTTTCTATGAATAGCTAATTCGTGAAATCAATCTTCGTTCTGATCCATTTACTGAAGACAGTATTCAAGCATTAAAATCTAGTTATACAAAATTAGTCAAATATTCGAATCATCAAAGAAAAAAAAGTATTACTGAAGATAATACATTTTATTAAACTTTCTATAATAATCTCTTCACTTTCAAAGAGCAGTCCTTTTCATATTAGACCATTTAAGTATAAAACGTTACAAACATTCAGAAAAACTAAGATTAAATCATGGAAGTAACTTATTGACTATTTTCAAACTATTGTATAATTTTTATTGCTTAACTTTAACATTCTTTATTGTAGAAAACAATTGTTCCTCATTCAGTGATGCAATAAACATATCACGGTAAATTATTTTGTCTTTTTTATCTCATCAGATTGTAGCTATTTTTTGGGCATTATATATTTTGAAAATGAAATAGAATAAGTACATAAAAAAGAAATAGCTATAATATGGAAACTGATGTTCCAATGTTTCAAAAACGCTTCAATAGATAAGTTCAATGTGAGACTCAAGAAAAGCTGATACAAATTCGTTTTCAATTTTCTAATTAGAAAATCAAATTTCTTATTTCTATTTTCTTGAGTATTGTATTTTCAAGGAAGTACAAAATTCATAGATGAAGTGGTATAAACATTCCTATAGTCTTTTTTTCTTTCGCTATAAAGTATTTTCAATCTTACAGCGTGGAGGACATTATTGAACAGCCAGTTTTTAAAGGATAGTTAATTTCTCTCTTCGTTGATTACAGTTTGAAATGCTAAGATAATAAGATAAATGATTATTAAAACTATCAAGAAAAATGCAAATTATATCAATCAAATGCATAATAGCAATACCTTGTGAGATAAGCAGTGAGAAAGAAAAAAAAACATGTGATGATGCAGCACATGTTTTTTCCATGTGCATGCATTGTAAATTATTTTTAAATTCTATTTTTTATAAATTAGACTTTAACAAAGCTACATTATTATGAAACTTTCATTACTGACTCTTCGAATTTAAAATATTAAAAAAATGGTCCATCTCCCAAATTATAGAAAGTCAATTTGATTGTCGAAAAAATTGATTTTCTAAAAATTGAAAAATCAATACTGGTTGCAAAGAAAATTCGAAAACCAATTTCAATTTGAAGAAAATTATTGAATTAATTACATGTTTCTTAAAACTATTTTAGAAGATCAATTAATCTTATTGATCACAAATTTCATATTGTGATCAAATGCAAAGATGTTTCACTTCTAAATTAATGACTCTTGTACGTTTTACTGCACCATTTAAATGAAATAAATCACAGAGTGGATTTGTATATATATTATAATTTAGTTTTTATATACTATTAATATGAAAACATTAAAAACGCTATAAAAGAAACAAGAGTGTTCAAGATTAATATAATTGCTCTGTCAAAACAATGATGACGTCATTATTCATGTCTGTTAACGATCTCTTTTTGATATCAACAGAAGAATGACTTGACGCACCTCGATCTAAATATATAGCATAGAAAGATTTATAATTGTTGCATTACACTTGCCTGTTCTTCAAATATTTATAACCTTTGTTCTCTCACAAAGAAGACTCATATACGTATTATGAAAGTGTCAATAATTCTTTTTATCCATTAGCTATTTATTTATCTATTTCATTCTATCTTCAATATTTCTACTTTTGTATGATTGTATTTGGTACATTGATCTTTTATTTTCCTCTTGTTCATTTCGATTTCATTTTTGTCGTCTTCGTCGTCGCATTATCGTGTTTGAATTCGATGGAATATCTTTTGTTCATATATTTTTAGGATTATGAGCATTCTATCTATTGATAATTTATTTATTCAATTTTGCATTTTTGATGTTCTTGTGAATGTCTGTGGATCGTATACAGTAATGTACAATTTGTTTTTTAAAAGTTGATGGGACTAATGGACGAAAATGTATCAAAAGCTAATAGTATTAATGGTAAGTCTCGTACATGATGAACAACAAAGTTTAAAAAATGATGCAAAATGCGTTATCTAATGATTATTTATTCACTTATCATAACTCTATACAATGTTAAATAGAATATTGATGATTTTTTGTTTTCTATTTATTATGTGGTGGAGAAGAAATATTATTATCTGTGGAAATTAAATACATTATTAATATTGGAAAAGAATGGAGATTAATTGTTAATTATTATGATACGGTAGCATTTAAACAAAATTTTTGGTTCTGTGAAATTAGTCCATCAGATGTTTGATTGTTTATCATTATTAAAGTTGAGTTCTTCATCTACAGAAGAACTATTATCTATTAATACAAATAAAGTGTTTGTTGAAATAATAAGTAAGTGTTTATTCATTTATACAACTTACTGATTATGCCCTATTTTTCCATTTTAATACAATTGTGACATTAAATGAAAAACAATCTGATATGCTTATACAATAATTTCACTCATATCAATCCAATAATTTATCATATTTTAATCATTTCAAATATGGATAGTGAGCATGATGATGTTGATTTGCGAGACAAACTGATATTGTCTCTATCGAATACAAATCGTTCACAACTTACTACTGCATCAATTGATCAAATGATCCATCGACCGTTGGATAATTTTTTAATAAGTTCAACAATATCTCAATCGAGAAAAAGAATTTTCACTAAATTTTATGATTACAAATTTTGATAAAGCTTTTGAAAAGGTTCCTGAAATCCGATATAGAAAGAAACAACATGATGCAGTTAAAACTTAT